CTTGATTTGACTTTTGTTTGGCTACAGAATTTTTGAGGCAAGATCGAACGTACTCACTTTTGGAGTGACCATCTTCATCATAGTCGTCTGATTCGTCTTCTTCTTCAGCCATCTGTAAGGAGATCTGCCAGTGCAAGTTCTAGTTTGATCTTCAATACTTCTTCACAAGGTTTCAAAATTCTTCTATTGGGCCGAACAGTCTTCTTTGACTTCGTACTGCAATCGGTGTGGCCCCTCGGTGGCTCTTCTGTGTGGGTGTCTTCCCGGGCTGTTGGCGATAATGCACGGCTAAAGTCATCGTTGCCTTCTATCCGTTCCCTCTGCTTCGTTGTGCGGGCCGTAGTGGGCGGCGCGGGCAAGGGTATCCCCCCTCGGGGGGGCAGCATGGCGCCTCAGCGCTCTCTACCGTTGACGATGAGCGTGGTGGCATCTGGTGGTGGACGGCGGCGTTACTGGCCGACGAACCTCTTTCCAGACCGACGGTCCACGCCTTGGCTTCCCTTCCTTGCGAACGGGTGATCGGCATCTTGATTCTGAAAACTCTGCGGTTTTAATACGGTGGTGACTATGTACCCGGTTCCGAAATACAAACGGATAAATCCGGCTCGAAGGACCATCGAATGTGCCGGACGGGCGAAACTCTTCGGAGTAAATGTTGTCGAAAATACTTCGCGAGTCGCTCACGTCCTACACCTATAGGTTCCGGAGGGTACTTTCACTGCCGTCTTTGTGGGTGCCGCTGAGATATTGTGGACTGAGGTTCAAATTAAAATGCAAGATTTATAAATACAAATAGCAAGGTAGTGGCCAGCGGCTCGACTGAATGATTAGTCGCGAAATTTTATAACTATTGTTTATTGACCACGGTTTTTAAACTACGGTTGTTCACTATTGGTTGGTCACTGTATATTTCAAAAAAATTTCTTTAAATTGTACGGTAGTATCAAAAATCTATTGGTAGTAGCTGGTTTTCTAACACTATTGACTAGCAGCTATTATCAACTAAACTATCTGATTTTATCACTTGTGTAACTGCGGATATCAGTTACCACTTTCACTATATGTAACTGCGAATATCAGTTACGACCTTTTCCGGCTAGCTAACACTTTCACTATATGTAACTGCGAATATCAGTTACGACCTTTTTCGGCTAGCTAACACTTTCACTATATACTGCATATCAGTTATGACCTTTTTCGGCTAGCTAACACTTTCACTATATACTGCTACTAGTCACTTCAGCTACTACCGGATACTACTGCTTGTCACTGGTAGTTCTTCACACTACTACCCTACTGGGTCCCGAGCCCCTAAGGTAGACTTTGGCTAGACCTTACAGTGAGCCGCTTGCCATTTTCCGTTTTGCGTCTTTATTGCATAAGCTTTTCACTATGCAAATGACATAAATTACAATATTTTCTATACAAAACTAATTGCTACACTAACATGCTATACATCATCAAATCGGTAGTCTGGTACTTTATTAGTACATATATCATAAAGGATACTCAAAACATTAACATTGTAAAAAGTTATTGAACAAAATGTCCCAAATTTTAATAATACTAGGCTGCACTAAAAGTATCGGGAATGGAATACTTCCACTGTTTCCTGTCTTATTAAAATCTTTTTATATGAAAACTCCTTGGTTTTAAAAATCGAATACCATTTATTTATTTAAAAAAAGATTCTCGGTCTTGTCACAAGGTTTTGTCAAACTGGTTTAGTCGTTGAGAAAATGGAATTGACTTGAGAGAATTCAAGAGCGATGATTTATTAGACTTTAGGTGGTTTAACACAAAAAAAGGGTTGACCGCATGATTTCTGCATTTGGTGATGAAGCCCCATCCAAAACCACAATTTAAAGACGGTTTGCTGAATTTCAACGTGGACCTGTCAAGCTCAGTGATGATCCCCGTCAAGGTCGTCCAAAAACTGCAGTCACCCAAGAAAACGTTGATGCTGTGCGTAAGGTGATCGAGGAAGATCGGCATGTGACATACCGCGAAATTCAGGCAACTTTAGACATTGGCATGAGTCAAATACAAATAATCTTGCATGAACAATTAAGTGTAAAAAAGTTGTTTTCCCGATGGACACCGCATTCGCTCTGTGAAGAGCAAAAAGTGGCTCGCGTTACTTGGTGCGTCAGAACTTTCTTGAAAGATTCCACGCAGGATCCTCAAATGCTGTATACAACATCGTATCAGGTGGCGAATCCTGGATATACGCGTACGAACCCGAAACAAAAAACCAGTCACGAATTTGGGTGTTCGAAAATGAGTTAATGCCAACAAAAATTGTTCGTTCACGGAGTGTTTCAAAAAAATGGTGGCCACGTTTGTCTCCAAAACCGGCCATGTTGCGACTATTCCTCTTGAGGGACAAAGAACGGTTAATGCAGAATGGTATGCTAGCATTTGTTTGCCACAGGTCGTTTCTGAACTCCGTAAAGAGAACTGAAACCGCCGCATCATCCTCCATCACGACAATGCGAGTTCTCACACCGCACACAGAACAAAAGTTTTTAAAGCAAGAAAACACAGAATTATTAGACCATCCGCCGTACAGCCCCGACCTAAGCCCTAATGATTTCTATACTTTCCCTAAAATAAAGAATAAATTGCGTGGACATAGATTTTCATCAACTGAAGAAGCTGTGGACGCCTACAAAACGGCCATTTTGGAGACCCCAACTTCCGAATGGAATGGTTGCTTCAATGATTGGTTCCATCGTATGGAAAAATGTGTCAAATTTCGCGAAGAATACTTCGAAAAGCAATAAATACATTTTTAAATAGTAATGTTGTGTCACTTCCTTGATTCCCGAAATTTTCAGTGCCGCCCTCGTATTTGGGTACATTAATTCTTTGATTTTTCTATAACTATCAAATGCGTTTACTTATACAAAATATTCCTACACTTCCTTAATCTATAAGCCATATGCTAATTCGATGTCATATTTACAACTCTTTTAGAACATAAAATTATTTTCATTATTTTTAGTATGAATTATTACGCAGTTAATTAAAAACTTCTAGAGAGTTCTACGATAAGACGCGCTGTGATTGGTCGATTTTTCTTAATACAATAAAAGTTGTTTACATCACTTGTTATCAAAACGACATTCTATAAAAAAATTTACAAAATTCATATATAAATAATTAGTCCAAAAATAGAAAACTAAAAGGTAAAGAGCCTCGGTGTTACAATTGTGACGGTTATGGTCACTACAAAAATCAGTGCAAGTTCAAAAAACAATAAAACTAACACTGTTTTTTCAGCTATTTTTCAGCCTATACATTGATAGAAGAAAATAATCGATACATTGACTCCGGTGCGACAATGCATATTTTTTATTGGATAGGGAGACAAACGAGCACACAGTCCAGTCCAATAGACGTCTACATCTATCCTCGAATCAAAATGCAGATGTGTTGTCACTCGTGAGGGCTAAGATGGAATGCCTCGTTTCCAGTAAAAGGGGTCTCTGGTTCTCTACACTCCCCATACGAAACCCAGCAATATTAAGCTTCTATTTTACGCTGGTATTCTGTGAGAGCGTGGTTCTTCCCCGGTCGAGCCGACCCATTCATGTTAAAACCATAACATAGCTGCAGCGTGGCTCTACCATGTACAAAAACATGTCAAGGCGCAAAGACTGGATGTATGATTTGCAACCACCTTCTACACAGAAAATATTAGTAGCAAACAGTGATGCTGTCTCCGTGCAAATTATGGGTAATGTAAATATTCAGACCAGAACATGTAATGATGAGAATCAAATCCAGGTGACACATGAAACATGGCATAGAAGAATGATCGTTGATATTGATCAAAAGTCTAAAATATGCAAATTCGCTCAGTCTGCCAACACAGTTATTCCTTGCCTTTCTTTTCAGAAAGAGACGGTATGTAAAGATTCGTTGTGAATCCATTGTTGTTGTCTTTTAATAAAGTTGGATTTTATGTCATATTAAAATGCGTTTGTAATATTTATTTATTGAGATTTGTGTGACCAATAAGCAAATTGGGTTTCTAGTAGTGATAATGCAATGTTACCGCTTGTATGTATATACAAAACAAGTTTGAAAGCCATTCTATTGTTTATTACAGTATTCTATGATTGTAATCTCCTTGTTTTTGATTTGTATTCCCCAGATATTTATTCTATCCACGGGTAGCCCGGGTGATCTGTACCGTTACCATTGCAGCCTATCAAAGGAGTTTTGGCGGGAACTTGGCCGTAGACAGATTGTCGCTCCTATTTTTTCGCTTAAATAATGGTTTGAAGTGGATTTTGATTCGTAAAAGTGATGCGATTTTTATGAATAAAGTGTCCGCGCGCGTGAACTAGTAAAGAAACGACGAAACAAGTGCTTTGATGTCGATATAAATCTCAAGCTATTTTGATCGTTTGGGCGCCTAATGAACTTGAGTGACTGTCGTCATCAACTGTCCGCTGGGTTGAACTGTCGTCAAAATCTCGACGCATTAGCATATAGTGAAGAAAAAGAATATAAAAACGAAGATTTCGAAAGAAATGATAGGCTCAGAAGGGCTAGAACCCAGGGCCGTAAAGCCAGTTAATAAAAAAAGCTATCAAAGTAAACATAGGCTTCCCCTATAGATTGCCTAATAGGGGGGGGGAAGGATTGCACATAGTGGCAAGTGGGATGGCAACTGCAGTTTTTTTATTTTTTATCGTTATTAGGAAGACGCAATTGTCTACCTCCGGCTCTGTTTCCCTCTGCCGCCTCTTACGACACCCACGGCATGATATAGAATATTCTTACAAGGCGTAACATAGGTATCTGGTACTGGTGACCTGTAATACAGGTTTTTTATACCTACATCAGGCACCAGTGTTTCACAAGTTAGGTAGTCTGGCACTTGTCTTATATTTAGTACTACGATTACCCACTTGAATTAGAGAATAAATAAATCATTAAATAAAAAAATAAAGTCGCTTACACACTGACGGACGGACATCACTCACCGATGAAGTGCTTCCTGGCGTGTCCGGTGTCGAGCGCGCGGTTGACGGCGCGCACCAGCCAGGCGAACAGGTCGCCGTACATTCGCTTGGCGAGCGCGTCGCGTGCGAAGGCGGCGCGCTGCACGTCCATGCGTGCCACGATCACCTCGTGTGCGCTCGCGATGCGCCGGTGCGTCAACCAGCGGCACAGCTCCGCCTTCGATATGCCCAGCAGCGAGCACACCGTGTGCAGGTGCTTGTCGTTCGACTGGAATTCAATTATTGGAACAGAATCTGGCTTTAGAACTGCTGATTTGAAACTCGATGAAACGAAAAAGACGAAAGTAGTTTTTTCTAAGTCTTCTAGCGCATGTAAACTACATATATGGTATATGTATTCAATATAAATTACAAGTACTTCTTATTGATAGTCAGTTTATACTTTTACTACCACATAGAACCAGCAAGAAACCCAACGGAACTTTTTTGCGAAATAAAATTATACAATAAGAACACACGTGATAGACTTCTAGGTTCTTCTTCTTAAAAATGCAAGTGACAAACTACAGTACAAAACTATTGTTGCATAAAAACATTTTTAAAATTTTAAATTGGAAAATATAGTATTCAAGAATAACTATTCATTTCGTGATATAAAAATTTATTGAGCATTTCCTTCAAAATTTTTTTTCATCTTGATTTCATTGATAACCTTGGAAATAATAATATCAGTAAATACTGTAGTCAATTACTATAATACGATACTTTAGACAGAAAACATTTTTAGTGTTCTTAGATTTAATATCAATTTAAAAACAGAATCAACAACCAAATTCATGGGGAACATAGATAACCATTTCGCGTGCCAGTAACGATAAAAGAAAATCTTTCTTAAATAGTCCAGAAGTTGCCCAGCCGACTGCTCCTAGCTAATAAAGAAAAAAGAAAAGTACATAAACAAAGCTCAACTAACACTAATGTACGCGCCATCACTAGATTCCTCGCTGGGTCCAGCGTCAGGGTCACTGTCGAACAGTTGAATGTTGCCGAGGTGCAGGATGGTGGCCAGCACTGTGAACATGTTCTGCTGCTCCGTCTCCGTTACACCTGGTAAAATTAGTTAGTGTCAGCAATTTTACGGCTACAACGAATGATACAAGGCGACAATTTCCGGTTTAAGTAAGACTTCCAATTTAATGTATTTAGATCCGATTCACCGAAGTATCCGGTTTCAAGGTCAAGAGTTCTGGGTTTTTTTATAGAAGAGGGGGCAAACGAGCATGCGACTCACCTGATGATAAGTGACTACCGCCGCCCCGATCAACCGCAACACCAGGGGAATTGCAGGTGCGTTGCCGGCCCTTTAGAAAGGAGCCCCAGCCCAGAGATGGGAACAGTATTCCATGTGCGGCCGAACCTGCGCCTATAAAGTTGCAGGCGGTGTGCCGGCATGAAATACTGTCCCGCTCTGCTGAGCATGCCAAGCTTTTTAGAGGCCAATTTGGCCTTCTCTTCCAAGTCACCACGAAACTGCACGTCACTCGATATGTCGACGCCGAGGCTTTCGATACTGGCTGAGGCAACAAGGGGAGTGCCTTGAAACTGAGGAACAGGAAACTGTGGAGAAACTTGTGTCTTCTGGAGGTTAAACTGGACTAGATTTAGTCGCCCCCAATCCGAGACTGTTCAGCAAAGACTCGACTTCAGACACAAGTTTGTCCCGGTATTCGGAGACGGTTTCCCGAGAAATATTGGCTTGAAATATCACCAGTGCTGTCATCTGCATAGCAATGAATGTTACGGGTTTGCAACATATCATTGATATGCAGAAGAAACAGCGTTGGCGATAGCACGCAGCCTTGTGGAACACCAGCATTAATAGGCTTGCAATCGGAGCTTGCACCGCCTACAACGACCTTGATGCTCCGATCTGCAAGAAAGCTGGTGATCCAATCGCACAATTTTTCGGGAAGCCTATAAGAAGGGATCTTCGAAAGAAGCGCTTTGTGCCAAACCCGATCGAAGGCCTTCGCAATGTCCAAACTAACGGCCAATGCCTCCCCCTTGGACTCTACTGCCTCCGCCCATCTGTGAGTTAGGTAGACCAGAAGATCACTAGCTGACCGACCACGGCGAAAACCGTATTGGCGGTCACTAATCAGCTGGTGATCCTCAAGGTACCTCCTGAGCTGGCAGTTAACAATAGACTCTATTGGTTTGGAGAACAAGGAGGTGATGGCGATAGGCCGGTAGTTGGACGGGTCTGAGCGGTCGCCTTTTTTAGGGATCGGGTAGACGAAAGCCGTCTTCCATGATTTTGGAACTGGTTTGAAAATGAGGAGTTCCAGTTGGAGTTGACAAGCTTTTTTTTCGCCACAAGTCACCTGATTCCGGTTCACGGTGTCGAGTTCCGATTTAAAGTAATCGAATTTATGCCTGTATTCTAATTTTATTTTTTTACTTTTCTTTCTCTTAAATTAAATTACCTTAAATTCAATGAATTAACATTGACACTTTTTGTTTGTGTCTTTATTGTTATTAAAAAATACAATAATTGGTATATGATAAAATGGTTAATGGTTTGTAAAAACGTTATTTGTGTATAGTGTCCATTTTTATTATTGTTTCAGCTCTCTTTTTAAATTATTAACGACAAATTTTCTTCGGTGTCGGAAAGGTATCGCAATAACTTCGAGTTCAAATATATTTTTATTGGTTGGTGATGCTATTCATTAGAATATTAATAACAATTGTTTTAAATAATTTCAGATTTACTGTGGGAGTCATGACATATATCACTAGTGAATATAACCGACTTTTATCACTATTTGTTTGTTTTCATAATGGAGTTTGTCTTTGCCTAGTGCAAGAATAAACAAACATAAGAATATTTTTAAAATACATTTTGAGGATTCACTAGATAATAGAGACGAGTAAATACATAAGGCGTACTTGTTATGATATTCAAAACCAATGTTTAGAGTTGGTAAGCACAAATTCTGAGCCAAATTCACACCAGATCCCAGATAATTATTGCGAATTATCTCATGATGAAAAGTGTTAAATCGGAAGCACATGAAGACATTCCTAACAAAAATCTTGGATTTGACATTTCTTTCCATCAATGTATTTTTTTCGCCAGGCAGCTGAACAGTTACTAATAATTTGTTACAATACTTGTCAAAAAGTTTATAAGAAGGTCCAGGTTACATTGAATTCTAACAACAGTACTAAGTTAAGGAAATCTGTATTGAGAATAAAACTACTCACTAACATCTTATCCAACAATTTACATAAGTTTCTAGATTTGTTGACTTGTACGTAGTTTTGTTCATCCCAACCTAGATAATAAGTATTGTTATTGTGGTTTAATGCCATGCTATGTATCTTATTTACTCGACGACGACGTTTACGAAAAACTCTTTATGGATGAAAATTTACCGAAGAATTTTACCGAAGAATTTTAATCAACAGCATCCTGAGAAAAGAAGAAATTCTCTGTCATCTCTTTCCAGACATATATCTCAACGCGATTTTTCTCCTGCTTCTGACCATGATCCAATTTACTTATCGTTAGAATCATCTAGTTTCAAACGCCTACAAAGGTCAAATAGATCTTCTAGTTCATCTTCCTGTACTATCACATCCAGCACCTCGTACTCTTCATATTCTTCTTCTGAAAACCCTAACAGAGACAAATCATATTCCATTGTTGGCCACATTGACTGATGCATATTTACTAGAGAAAATAATAACTGCATTCAATTTCCTCCAAATTCATATATCAGATACAAACATCAGCGTGTCAGTTCCTCGGCCAGAGAGCTCATTTAACCCCATCGTAGAAAAAGGCAACAGGCATTGTGGACATAATTATTAACCTCACTGCCGTGTCGGTATGTACAGTTCATTTAAAACTACCGACGGAGAAATGTGAAAATAATAAGGAAAAGGCTGCTCAGACATTAAGAAACTTAGGAAAGCAATACAAGAAAAATGTCGACTTAAATGTGGTGACAATATTGTGGTGGGACTATTAGATAAGATCGCAAAAAATTTTGAAGCATTTTGAAGTTTAGGCTTTTTCGCTCGCCAAAAGAGATTTAATTGCTATAAATTTAGTTACCGTAGTTCCTAAGTATCAGTACAAAAGTCTTAATAGTAACAGAAAATCAAAGCTTGCTTTCCTACAGATTGGGATCCATGCTCGACTCAATTAACCCTTGTATCCCCATAAAATTCCCATGCAGTCGCATGCGCCTGGCAAATCCCGAGCGATCGCATGCGAGCGCGCCCACCCACCCACCTTAAAACCATTAAAACTTTTATTTAGAGATTACTTTTCTATGAAGAAGTTTGGCATTATATCTATACTCTATTATATCTATACAAAATTCTGTATCCTGTTGTCTAAACAAAAGTCAGGTTTTACTTAATTACAAAAAGATTTTATTGTATTTTGATAACAAAATCAAAACATACCAAGCGGATATCGGCAGCGTGAAAATCACAATTATTTCTATATATTACTCGAAATTATTTACGTAAAAAGATAAATTATATACACACAAAAACTTTCATAACCATTTTATGATAAAACACTATACTAAAACACTAGAAAAATCCAAAAATCAACACCACAAGTTATTTCTCTACAATTTTATGTGGTAGAGCCATGCTGCAGTTATTAGTAGTATAGTTGTAACACGAATGGCTCGACTCGACCGGGGAAGGACCACACTCTCACAGAATACCAGCGTCAAATAGCAGCTTAATGCTGCTGTGTTTCGTATGGTGAGTGTAGAGAACCGGAGACCCTTTTTACTGGAAACGAGGCATTTCACCTAAGTCCTCACGGGTGACAACGCATCTGCATTTTAATTCGTAATCGAGGATAGATGTAGATGTCTATGGGCCGCAGCAACCACTTACCTTCAGGTACTGTGTGCTCGTTTGTCATCCTATCCCATAAAAAAACAACAACATCCAAACGAAAATAGCGTACGTAAATAACGTAGAATATAAATTAATATCCATAGACTAATTGTTTTTTACTCCACTAGAGGATAGAAAATTTCACATTGATTCAATAATGCCAAACTTTTTCATAGAAAAGTAGTCTCTAAACATAAGTATTTATGGGTTAAAGTGCTGTGGTTGGATGCAGTCATATTTGACCGCTTGAATTTTGACGGAATATCGAAGCGGTCAAATTTGGAGACTGCGTGAACTGTGTAAACATCCAATCCCAGGGGGATGTATATCAGGGTTGTCTAAAGATGGGTTCCAGGTCTCGCGGGTATTATAGGCAATGAATTTGCCGACAAGCTCGCACGGGAGGTCTCAAAGAGCACACAAATTGGACTTTAGCCATTTTGTAGAATCTCATAAAGCCTATCCCGAATGACCCTTGAAACTTTTTATCACAATAAATCACTTAAGATTTTGTATGACATACCAAACCTTAATCCGGACTTTTGATAGTAAATTCGCTTCGAAAGCCCTGAGATTAAGTAATATAGCGAACAAAACCGGGCAAAAAAAAAAAAAAAAAAAAATAAAAATAAATTGCGCATTCTGGCAAAAGCCCTAACTGGACTCTGTTGTCTTAAAAAACACATGTCTATCGTGGGACTAAGCAACTCAAGGTTGTGCCGGTCGCAATTGTTTCGTAAATCTTTAAACGCTCCTACTGAAAAAACTATATTTTTGAATAGTGTCAGTCTTCTTATCAAAATCATTACTCTAATAAAATACATAAACAATAACATAACAGTTATCCCTCTAGAATAAATATCATATTTAAAGGTTACCTAAAGTTGTGAGGGCATTTTTCGTTTCATTGAACGCTCTCAGGTCGTCAACGCCGTCAATGTTGGGACTGCCGCCCTGATTCAGGTAGTGGAATGAGTCTTGGTGATCTGAAAATTAAAAACGAAAGAATATGTCTTCAGTGTTTTAATGGTGTTGTGTAGTGATTTTTGAATAATTTATCAAAATATCTAGTTTTGTATGTGTGGTTGATAAGCGTCGCGGGCCACGAGCGTTACATTCTTGGATCGTTACATAGTGATAAAACTAAATACGCGCGGATGGCTTGCGCTGGCGGCATTCAGCCGCGCGTTTCAACAGTAAACGAAACCGCGCGACTCTAAGCTCGTTTTATAGTTTCGAGCGGGTCATCCGCGTGTTTACGGGCCGCGCTTACCACCAGCGCTGGCGAAAGCGTCACTGTGAAACCACACTAAGGGTTTAAAACGTCAGCTGGCAGAATGCTAAACAAATATCGTGATCTCCAAAAAAAAAATTAAAACTGATGACGGGAAGCGGATTCGCACACCTATATATAATATGTAGTAGTAATAGTAATATGTCTGATACCAATGTTTAACAGTGTTTTTACTGATATGAGTTATAAGTAATTATCAACCTACTTACCAGATGTAAAAGGTATGCAGTTACCTCACGGTATGAGATGAATGACTCATGGATTATTTCCATAATGAGCAGAATAAATAGTATTAGTTGTAAAGCAGTTATCGTTATCAAGTACTGCACTTCTTGTTCCTGTCTGAAGAGTATGGTGATCCAATTATTGCAGGCTGATAGGCATTCTATCTTGAACTCATATCTAAAAGTGTGGCTTTCTTTTAGCAAAGTTAGCTGCAGGTTCATTAATATGAAGGGGTGACAAGCAAGCATACCGTCCACCTGATGGAAACTGGACCTACACATCTATCCTTGAATGTAGATGCATTGTCACTAAAAATGTCAGGTTCTTTACACTTACTATGCGAAACTCAGAAATAAGCTGCTATTTTACGATGATATCATGGTATTTAGTTCTGCAACCATAATATAGCTGCAACGTAGTGCGTTCAGATATAAATACCAACTACTACTAGAAAATAAAAATATAAATTTCTTTGCAACTTTCCGCTAAACATATAAAATGATGTGTCTTACCTGGATTGAAGCGCACCTCCGCCCTCCCTCAATTGCATACACTAACTCCGTCACCACTAGACCAAGCACCACTACTCTCAACACCACTATTCCAGGCAAGACACACCATCGACGATGCTAAGCTACGTACGACGACTAAGTACTTAGCGGTCAGCCGCCGTAGAGTCTATATTACCTGAGGATGCCTCGTGTAGAGGCGAAACACGTGTCGTATTATCGTCGATGGTGTGTCTTGTCTGGAATAGTGGTGTTGAGAGTAGTGGTGCTTGGTCTAGTGGTGACGGAGTTAGTGTATGCAATTGAGGGAGGGCGGGAGGTGCGCTTCAATCCAGGTAAGACACATCATTTTATATGTTTAGCGGAAAGTTGCAAAGAAATTTATATTTTTATTTTCTATTATAATGGATTTCCGCAAAGTAACGCCTGATTCTATCAATTACCAACTACTAGGCAAACGAGGTTGGATATAGATCTTTAGGCCACAGCATCCAGTTACGCTAAGATGGTCTGTTGTGCTTGTTTGTCACTTTTACTTGTATACAAGATAACAAACGCGGTAACCGCCTGGTAAGTGGGTTCTGCAGTCAATGAACACCTGCGCAGCAACTTCAAGCAAAGAAGTCTACTGATTCGTTAACACTCCTGAAGTCAAGATGAAATGCCGCACAGCCTGTGATAATACTGGCTCTCTATGACCTTCAGAGCGAAACAATGCAGCGCACACACTGCAGCTTGTCAGCAGGAATAGGTAAAAGCTTAGTAGATTAGATAAAAATAACTAAGGAAAGCTTACCAAGCTTAAGTTCGGGCATGTTGACGGCCGCAGCACACAGCTGATAAAAGATGTGATAATTCCTCTCCCCAGTACTCTGGTACACTACTCGCGACTTTTCATGGAGATAAGTGCGCATGCTGGCGCCCGATATCCGGTAATGGTCGTCGAAGTGGATTTCTATGAACTTGCCGAAGCGTGAGGAGTTGTCATTGCGCGTAGTTTTCGCGTTGCCGATAGACTGGGGGCAGTGTTTTATTTGATTACTATGGTGTAGAGTAAAAAGCTTATGTCGGTTCATGGTCTAACACGTAAAGCAATTAAGTAGAATATTTTTTTTATAGAATTAGGGTGACAAATGAGCACACAGTCCACCTAGTGGTAAGTGTATGCTGTGGCCTATAGACATCTACATTTATCCTCCAATCAAAATTCAGATGCGTTGTCATCCTTGAGGACTAAGATGGAATGTCTCGTTTCCAGTAAAAAAGGGTATCCGGTTCTCTACACTCACCATACGAAACACAGCGGTATTAAGTTGCTATTTTACGCTGGTATTCTGTGGGAGCGTGGTCCTTCCCTGGTCGAGCCGACCCATGCGTACCTACCTAACCTACAGAACCTACAACCATAATAAAGCTGCAGCGTGGCTCTACTACGTTAAATTTGCCAACATCTATCTTTCAACATCTTGTATTATTGGCAGCGAAGAGGAATCCTCTACCTCATATCATTACGTGGTTGCCGTAAGAGGCGATAGACAGAAATAAAACTGGAGATATGCAACAGTAACTTCTAAAAGCCAACTGTAAATAATAAAAAAAACTACGGTCGCCAAACCCCACAAGCCAGCGTGGCAACTACGGAAAATATCTCCCTATGAGGCATTCTATGAGAGTGGCTTATGCCCAGCAGTTGATGAGCTAAAATAATGAATGTTCTGTCTGTCCATCCAAACACAATGCGGGTGTCTTCAAGCTAAGAATGAATAGGATTTTTTAAGACAAGTCAGTGCGCTTTACAACCTTCAACTATATCATACCATCAGAGGGATAACAGTAAAGCACCAATTGATATTAGTCAAAAAATTGTAGCATATAAGTGATCAAGCTTGACCTTCAAGCCTCACAACACTGCACGCCTGGCCAATACTGACCTCTTCCATAATTTATGGCCCCAGAAAACTCCCCAAATGTTATATTCATAACCAAAAAGACACAAAAGATTATAACTTACCTCCATGATCGGACTGGAGGCAAGCACTTTGCGCTCGACTTGTGTTTCGCTGGCGTTCCCACCGACCGCCGCGAAGTACCTCATCGCGTACTTTGCTGACACCGTTTTCCCAGCACCGGACTCTCCGCTTACTGACAAACAATTCGTTACAGATGTATTCAACGACACATTTTTATACTTAAACATAAATTTAAGTGGGATGACTATGGGTAAGTCTCCCCACAGTCAAGGTCACGACGACCTCAGCATTGAGCACTTGCAACATGCGGGTGTGCACATGCCAAGGGTGTTTATTGTTTAACCTACGTCTAGGACATGCGCACTTACCTGGAGAGCTTATAAAAACCATGGTTGTACCAATATTAAAAAATAAGACTAGTGATGCCTCCGTTGGGTCCAATTATCGCCCAATATCTTTGGCTACCATAGTTGCGAAGGTTCTGGACAGTTTGCTTGATCAGCAACTCAGCCAACACATTCACCTACATGAGGCTCAATTTGGTTTCAGGCCAGGGCTTTCAACTGAAACTGCCATACTGCGACTCAAGCATACTGTCCAGTATTACACTACGCGAAAAACGCGGTTTACGCGTGTTTCTTGGCCTGTCGAAGGCATTGGACCTGGTTTCGTACATCGTGCTATGAGATAACCTTAACCAGGAAACTAGCACACCCAAAGAAGTAATTAACCTCTTCAAGTATTGGTATCACAACCAAGCTAACTGTGTGAAGTGGGCTGGCTCATATTCGTCGGAGTACAGGTTGGAGTGCGGGGTGAGGCAGGGCGGCCTTAGCTCCCCTCAACTTTTCAACCTGTACATCAACGGTCTGATCGTGGAGCTCAGTGATGCCGGAGTCGGCTGCTCAATTGGCGGCCATTTTGTTAATAATATAAGCTATGCTGATGACATGGTTTTGCTGAGTCCTTCGATCAGGGCCCTCGAAACGCTAGTGGGCATCTGTGAAAGGTACGCGGCGGCTCATGGTCTCAAATATAATTGTAATAAGAGTGAACTACTCGTGTTTAAAGCTGGAAATAGAAAACCTAAGTCTGTTCCTCATGTTAAACTTGGAGGAGTTACACTGAGTAGAGTCACCAAATTCAGATATCTGGGACACTGAGTCGCCGAGGATCTTTCTGACAATTTAGATGTTGAACGGGAACGTAGAGCGTTGGCAATGAGGTGTGCCCGCAGGTTTGCTAGGTGTACGAATGAAGTTAAGATAACTTTATTCAAAGCTTACTGTCAGACATTCTACACCTGCAGGCTGTGGACGAAGTGTACTCGCCGAATTCTCAATTGCGCTACGTGTTCAGTACAAGAATAGATTCAGGATGTTGTTGGGGCTGCCACGCTTTTGCAGCGCATCGCGTATGTTTTCTGAGGCACGCGTGGACAGTTTTGCAGCAATATTACGCAAAAGAATAGCCTCCTTAATGCGTCGCGTGCGAGACAGCATCAACGGCCTCCTAGCTTCCATATATGGAAGGCAAGATTGCCCGGTAATGAGGTACTGGAACACAGTGCATATGGGTTCCAGACCCAATATGTTTAATAATAAATAATAATTTTTGTGTAGTTATAATTTATGTATTTTGTGAATTTACTAACCCCTAGTTTTTAAGTTTTTAAGTTTTAAGTGTACTAACAAAATGGGTGTACTTACCTGAATAATGAAATAAAATTATTATTATTAATTAATTATTATAAATATTGATCTTTACTTTTTAAATCGTAGCTACGGATCGTTATTTCAAAGGATCTGCTCAAATATGAAATTTAAATTAATACAAAATATCAAAATATTTAATCTGGCAAGCATGCCTAACGCCTATTCAGTTAATTTGTTGACGTCAAAATCTTGTATATAGCTTTTCTATAGGAGCTACCACGGCTAATAAAAAATGTACCGCAATGTAATGCAAAAAGATTGTCATTTTAATGTCAACAAAGATAGCAAATACTTCTGCTGTTCACTTTAGCAAATAATGACCAAGTGTTAAAACAGACAGGTTTGTTCAGATTTTTAGATTTTTAAATTGTAGCAACTTATATAACTAATATTCAAAGACATAACGAGTACTAATTAATGTACACCTGTATACTCACCAATAATACTTTGGTCTCTCCGCTCCCTTTCCAGCTTTGTATACGCCTCCTCGGAGACGGCGAATATGTGAGGGTCCAGGTCACCCATGGCCTGACCTCGGTACGCCATAATTGTCTCATCACCTTTATAATAAAATTATTAAAAAATATATTTTTAATCAAATAAAATTAAATATTTAGTATTATTATTAACCTTTTAAATTACTGTGCAAGGTGTTGGCGACGTAAGAGGGTTCTCTTCATTTATCTCTGAATTTTGTAATGGTAAAATACTATCCATCTAATAGACATTGTTGTTTTCGATAGATATTGGAGTAACCATCTTAATTATCATAATATACAACAATCGGTACATTCTCGGTTTAACCCTAGAATATACCGAAAAGGCAACTGCGATTGTCAATCCGTTTGGCAAACGCGTGGACTATTCACGAGCGGACGACGACTGCGACAATATTTTTGATCTGACTGCATGATAATTCCTGCCAACACACTAAAGTAGCTATCACTTGCCATAGTTGCAATGTCTGGCTGGCGGATTGGCAATTACAGCAACAGACTAGACATAAGACGTGCTGCAGCCAGGCTTACCACTTACAGTACAGTGACGAAACTACAACTTCAACTTTACAAAAATATTACAATACTACACAGACTCATTCGTTTTAAACTACCCGTGGTAACGAATATGCGATGAACTCGAAAATAGGATGCAATGTCAAAGTTATCGGAGCAATTAAAATACAACCAGCAGTGTGATTGTATAACCTTGGCGGAAATCGTTGTTGGCTTCGTTTTGACGTTTAACGTTTGTTTTCTTTTATAGTGCTACAGGTGCGTCGTCATCTCTCTCCTATACTGGCTCTCTATACTCTTCAGAGCAGAACAGACTAGTTTAGACGTTGCTATTGGCGGCAGAACATTTAAGAGGGTGGCACGTACCCAGACGAACTTAAAGACAGAAAAGTTTTGACCTTTAGCGTTTGTTTTCTTTTATAGTGCTACAGATGCGTCGTCATCTCTCTCCTATACTGGCTCTCTATACTCTTCAGAGCAGAACACACTAGTTTAGACGTTGCTATTGGCGGCAGAACATTTAAGAGGGTGGCACGTACCCAGACGAACTTAAAGACAGAAAAGTTTTGACCTTTAGCGTTTGTTTTCTTTTATAGTGCTACAGGTGCGTCGTCATCTCTCTCCTATACTGGCTCTGTATACTCTACAGACCAGAACACACTGGTTCAGACATTGCTAGTTATTAGCAGAATATTTAAGAGGGTGCAACGTACCCAGACGAACTAACAGGCAGATAAGGGAGTCCTATCACGTAATAAATTGTTGTATCGTGCGTCATTTGTGCCCCGGGTTGGAGTTTGCGTGTACGTCGGAGAGGACATCTGTTTTCAACGCCTCGGCAGTCTTGAAGATACGGACCCGTCCATATTATAGCTCGCCGCGTCTACGGGTGCCTCTATAGGTCCCATAGCGGTAATGCCGACACAGATCGACTCATCGACCACGTGCAAATGGCTGCAGACTCCGTGCTACAACAGGTCTCATCCGCAGAGATCGTGATGCTTGGTGATTTTAACGCCCACCACGCTGAATGGCTTGGTTCTGGTTTAACCGATCATGCATGTAAATTTGTTTATGACCGCTTTGGCATATGGTCTGACACAACTGGTTGCCTCGCCGACGTGGATCCCAGATGTGGAAGAAACCTTCACTGATAGAGCTTCTGTTGACCACTCATCCGGATGGATATCAGGACTCTGTCGATGCCCCTCTTGGCTTTTCGGACCGTTGTCTGATCCGGAGTACAGTGCCACTATCGCTCCCATCGCGGTTGCGTTCTGCAGGTTGCCGCCATATTTGGCATTATAGGTCAGCCGATTGGGACGGGATGTGATCTTTCTTTGCATCCTATTCTTGGGAGCGAGTTTGCTTCTCGCCAGATAATCCCAGCATTGTTGCTGATTCTGTCGCTAATGTGGTGCTACAGGGAATGGAAATTTTTATTCCATCATCTGTGGTACCTTTCGCAGGCCATATCTCAGAACCCAGCCATGTTTTGTTCATTCCTGCAAAATTTCATTACACCATAAGCAGGAGTGCTACCACGCCCAGGCTCACGCATCGACGTATCGAGATGCAAATACCAGCGCTCTTAAAAAAAGTATAAATCCGCCCCCAAGTCCCTAAAACGTGTCACTGCTAAGGCAAAGTCAGAGCATATCAGCAGAATTGGCGAGAAACTAGTTCGACTTCCTTTGGGAACATGTGCATTCTGGTCTCTTTGTCCAAGGTAACTTCTGTCAGCCATCTCTCCCATCTCTGCACAGGGAGGACGACTCACTGGCCAATGCCGCAAAGAACAAAGCCGATCTGCTGGGCTCTCTTTTTACGTCTAATTCTAATCTTGGTGTCGGGGGACCATACCGTCGATCATCCCACGGTGTGAGTGCTCCATGCAGGAAGTGCTGTTTACCCAGCGCTCGGTGCGCAGAGCACTACTCTCCATAGACGTCAACAAGTCGAGTGAGCCTGATGGCGTACCTCCTATTATACTAAAGACGTGTTCTCCGTAATTGGCATCGGTTTTAACGCCTCTTTTTCGGTACTCTTACTCCCTAGGCGTAGTCCCGAAATCACAGAAGACAGCTTCAGTGCACTCGATCCCTAAAAAAGGCGACCGCTCAGACCCGTCTAACTACTGGCCTATCGCAATCACGTTCTCCAAAATTAATGGAATTGATTATAAACTGCCAGCCAGCTCATGAGGTACCTTGAGGTTCACCAGCTGATTAGTGACCGACAGTTCGGTTTCCGTCGGGGTCGCTCAGCTGATGATCTTCTGGGTTACCAAACCCGTAGATGGGCGGAAGCAGTAGAGTCCCAGGGGAGGCTTTGGCCGTTAGTTTGGACATAGCGAAGACCTTCGATCCGGTTTGGCACAAAGCGCGTCTCTCGAAGCTTTCTTACCACTGGCTTCACGAGAAATTATGCAATTGGATCACCAGTTTTCTTGCAGATTGGAGCATCAAGGTCGTAGTAACCGGTGAAGCTCAGAATACAAACCCATTGCCGCGGGTGTTTCACAAGGCTGTGTGCCATCACCAACGCTGTTTCTTCTGCATATCAATGATATGTTGCAAATTGGTAGCATTCATTGCTATGCGACGGCCGCACTGGTGATGCCTTATACACAGGCCGTGCCAATATTTTTCGAGAAAACTTCACCGAGTACCGATACAAACTTGTGTCTGAAGTCGAGATTTTGTTGAACAAAGTCTCGGATTGGGGGCGACTAAATCTAGTCCAGTTCAATCGCCAGAAGACACAAGTTTGCGCATGTACCGCTAAAAAGAATCCCTTCGTCGTATCTCCTCAGTTTCAAGGCACTCCCATTGTTACCTAAGCCAGTATCGGAATCCTCGGCATCAACATATCGAGTGACGTGCAGTTTTATGGTCACTTGAAAGAGATGGCCAAATTAGCCTCTAAAAATCTTGGCGTGCTCATCAGAGCGGGACAGTATTTCATGCCGGCACACCGCTTGCAACTTTACAAGGCAAAGGTACGGTCGCACATGGAATATTGTTCCCTTCTCTGGGCTGGAGCTCCCCAGTGCCAGCTCCTTCCGTTTGATCGCATCAAGCGGATAGCCGTTAAAATCGTCGGCAACCGAGCTCTTTTCGATCGACTTTGCTCTGCGAAAAGATGTTGCATCTCTTTGAGTATTTTATCTCTGAGGAATTGTTTAGACTAATTCCAGCCACACAATTTCACGAAGAATCTCACAATACCATCCATACTATCTGGATGACTGACGGTCCACCACTGTGCGATTTAAAAGAAGTTTTCTTGCCCGCACAACTCCTTTGTGGAATCGAATACCACCAAAGATTTTTCGGACCGATACGACTTAGGGACCTTGAAGAAAAGAGCCTAATCCTTTTTAAAAGGCCACCGCGGCTAAAACTCGCATAAAAATTTATATTAATATCTTTTATTAGGTTAAAAAATATTCCTGACTAAATAACCGTAAAATAATTCCCATCGGAAACAATTCTCACCAGATTTACAGTAATCCAATTTGCGTTAGCGGTCAAATGTTGACTTGGCCGGGTATTCTCACCGTTAAGTCAGTAACTTACCGTAAATACGCTTTAAAAATAGTAAATTAACTTACCGTAAATAGGCAATTCAAAGTAAGGGTTGATGGCAACCAGCACGATCCCGCAGTATGTGTAAATTGCATTTCTATCACAGAATCTGAAAATAATTTACAGAGATTTAGTAAATAATAATATTTTTCACAAGCAATTATAGACGTCATAATGTTATTCTATAACCTTATTCATTATTATTTTTGACAGCATTACTCTTAAAATAACAATAATATAAAGGAAAAACTAACTTGTCCTTGGATAGATTTTGATAAAGCTTTAAGACATTTATCTATTTTAACATACTTAAGAAAGTCCGAAGAAAATGGGTGCGTTTGGCAGAAAAAAGCGCTAGCAAGCGCTTGTAAGCAAAATGGCGATCGTAAGCGGTAAGCGCTGTCAAATCGTAAGTAGCTATTTTCCTCCAGGACACGATGTTAGTTTTAACCGGGGAACCTAACCTAATTTAAATATATGTTTGTAAAGTATTCATATTAAAAATTACCAATCATGAATTTTTAATAACATGTATATGTCTATTCATGTCTTATATTTATACGTGGTAGAGCCATGCTGCAATTATATTAGTAGTATAGTTGTAGTACGAATGGGTCGGCTCGACCGGGGAAGGACCACGCTCTCACAGAATACCAGCGTCAAATAGTAGCTTAATGGTGCTGTATTTCGTATGGTGAGTGTAGAGAACCGGAGACCCTTTTTACTGGAAATGAGGCATTCCATCTCAGTCCTCACGGGTGACAACGCATCTGCATTTTGATTTGTAATGGAAGATAGATGTAGATGTCTATGGGCCGCAGCAACCACTTACCAACAGGTGGACTGTGTGCTCGTTTGTCACCCTATCCTATAAAAAAAATTATATTACTTAAAACTAATATTGCACAAAACAACTTATAATTTCTACTTCAAAACAAACAAATTAAATAAGCAAAATGGCGGATTGTGTCAACGCTACTGAAGTAGCAATCGTGTCCTGGCCGAAAACTATTTTAGCGCTTGTAAGCGCTTGCTAGCGATTTTTTCTGCCAAACGCACCCATTCTTCTCTAAAAATAATATTTTCGTCCATTAAAAAACCCATAAAAGTCTATTGCTGAATATAAGTCACCACATAGATTACCTCGTACGGGGGGGGGGGGGGGGGGGGCACTTTGCCATAGTTATAACGCCAGACAGGCGGTTTGACAAGCACAGTTTTTATCATTTTGAGTTATTATCAGTAAGATGGTGCTACCCATCTCCTGTTTCAGTCCCCCCTGTCGTATCTTATGACATGCATGGAACGATATGAGTTATAGGACATTCTTTCATCGCCACCACGCTCAAGTAAGATTTATCTAGAGCAAATATGTAATATGTAAGTAATATTAACAGTCAAATGTCAACAATTTTCATCATTTTCTATTTTTGTTAAATTCTTCCGTGATAGTTTTACCTACATTAAGTAATACATAAACGATATTTTTTCTATATTTACCTATTTACTCCGTTAGAACTTAAAAAGGTAGGACTGTGTGCTCGTTTGTCACCCTATCCTATAAAAAAAATTATATTACTTAAAACTAATATTGCACAAAACAACTTATAATTTCTACTTCAAAACAAACAAATTAAATAAGCAAAATGGCGGATTGTGTCAACGCTACTGAAGTAGCAATCGTGTCCTGGCCGAAAACTATTTTAGCGCTTGTAAGCGCTTGCTAGCGATTTTTTCTGCCAAACGCACCCATTCTTCTCTAAAAATAATATTTTCGTCCATTAAAAAACCCATAAAAGTCTATTGCTGAATATAAGTCACCACATAGATTACCTCGTACGGGGGGGGGGGGTTACTTTGCCATAGTTAAAACCCCAGACAGGCGGTTTGCCAAGCACATTTTTTATCATTTTGAGTTATTATCAGTAAGATGGTGCTACCCATCTCCTGTTTCAGTCCCCCCTGTCGTATCTTATGACATGCATGGAACGATATGAGTTATAGGACATTCTTTCATCGCCACCACGCTCAAGTAAGATTTATCTAGAGCAAATATGTATTAACAGTCAAATGTCAACAATTTTCATCATTTTCTATTTTTGTTAAATTCTTCCATGATAGTTTTACCTACATTAAGTAATACATAAACGATATTTTTTCTATATTTACCTATTTACTCCGTTAGAATTTAAAAAGTATTATAGTCACCGACTGTAATAAGAAATTAAAAATAATTTCCTACGTACATACTACACATAGTTCTTCGTTCTAATCTGCTTTCTTTGATAGAATATTATGAGTTATGAGTGACAAGAAATAACTTACAATAAAATAATATAACTCAACTAATCTTCTAAGCATGTAATGCCTGTAAAATATTTAATTTCGCATTATAGAGTTCGCTTAATCGATTGAAATTATAACGTTACTATATCACACATGCATCAAAATTATATGGATATTATTCTCTCCCATATCGTTACCGTTAAAGCCTATTAAAGAAATACTACTAAAAAAACTGCGCCCTCTTTTCCCAAAAGAGGGTCGCTCCCGATACGGCATAAGAAAGCTTAAACAACCAGTTGCCAGTCCCCAAAGGCGGTTTTTAGAGGTTAACACTTAGGTTCCCCCGGTAGGCAGTGAGTCCCTCATAACCACGATAGACCGGCTCACGTAGTATGCGTAACGCATTTTCCGCCTCCCTACATATAGGGTAGCCCTTTAATTGCTTCGGGCGCAAAAAAAAAGCCTATTAAAGTCTATTACTGAACATAGGCCTCCCCCATAAATTGCCTCATAGGGGGATATTTGCAATAGGCAAACGAGCATGCGGCTCACGTGATGGTAAGTGACTACGACCGCAACTCCAGGGGAATTGCAGATGCATTGCCGGCCTTTTAGAAAGGAGAATTAGAAAATTAGGAACACGCTGCTGCCCATCTCCTTATTTGTTTCCCTCGGTCACCTCTTACGACACCCACGGGACGATGTGGAGAAGTGGACATTCTTACATCACCACTGTACGGTAATTCTCTCCCACAATAGAAAGGATCTGCAGTAACCAAAATGATTGACAGGCGGTTTGGCGATTGTAGTAAAGATCGCAGTAGATGCGTTGTCACCCCTGATGACTAAGAACGTGTGGTTACCAGCAAAAAGGTTCTCTACGAAGTACAGCAGCATTAAGCTGCTATTTTACGCTGGTATTATATGAAAACGTGGTTCTTCTCTGATCAAGCCGATTTATTTCAACGATAAGCCACAGTATACTGGATGACCTTTTTTACCGACTGGAAAAAAAAACAAAAATTTTGAATTAAACGTTTGAAATATTTTTTTTAAATTACTTTGCCCTTGAGCCTGTGACCCTGCGAAGTAACAAGATCAAAGATGCCTACTAAAATGTTTATTACCGTTCTTAAAGTAGGGTGGATATTATTGGAATTTCGATAGATTTTTATCAATTTATTTATTTAATTCCAAATTATTGTTTTTATTTTTTATAAAATATCAGTGCTCTAGGCTTTACTCCGTTCACATGTTACACCCTATTTTTACAGAAGGTAAAAAAGGTCATCCAGTATATTAACCGTAATTTAAAAGCACTAATCTACATTATTATATTCCATTACATGCTAAACCGGATGGAATATTTGCTATCTAATTATTCAACTTTGATAAACACCATCGGCGGAAAACGACACTGATATAGTACAGCTACGAGTGTACGATATTCTACTGGGTTCGGCGACTTATCGCTACAATCACCCTGCAACCATGAATCCAGGGGCTGGCTAAAGGAGCTCGGGGCAGTCAATGCAATGGTAGTAATATCAAATTTCAGCAGAGTGCATAGCACAAGAGTCCGTAGGCCACAAGCACAACATTTTCAGAGTGAAAGAGATCTTGAGAGATGAGCTTGAGTAACACGAAAGATATTTGAATGCGAGCGCGTCGATGGTTTTAATCAGGGGTCGCAATACGGGACCTCTTTTCAAAAACCGGTTTTTTCGATATAACTTTTTAATGAATGCCGAGATTTCGGTATTTTCGTTATTATGAATATAGTGAGAAAAATATGTAATGGAACCTTGACTTTCATAAGGGAATCGTCACCAGCCAAACAATAAGTGTGTTAAGAAATTCACATTTATTTAAAAAATAAATTATTTATAAAGAAAGTTTAATAAATAACTCACTGCTGCTGAGTAATTTTAAACTATTTAAACATACGAAACTTCTAGTAATCAGCTTTAACATAAACATAAAATACTCCTTTAACAAAACATAAAATGCTCTTTGGTGACTAAACACAAAAACTGAAATCCTAATATTTATTTATCATATCCTTAGCTTTAACAAAACATAAAATGCTCTTTGGTGACTTATCTTATTCCAAAACAAAAACGTAAATGTTTCACTTTTTTCCATGGAAATTGAAAACAATCATGCGCAATTTACATATTATACACTATAAATTCAAACATAATTCTTCTCATACATTTCTCTTTAGCAGTTTTAAATAATATGCTAGGTAATATCTAGGAACGAGATTCAGTCAGTTTCGTTTAAATAGTGAGATCGTAAAAATAATAATGGATCTTGTGTTTTGTCACTTAATCTTGAGCGCAAATGATTACAAAGTGACCAGCAGAAGAGAAAGCTCTCTCCGACTCTACACTGGTAGGAGGAATGCTTCTAAAATTACGATATGCTAATTCTAAATATTTTTCCCTTGAACCGCCGTTTTTATATACAGCCATTTTTATATTGATCAATGCATCTATATCTACGTCGCCTGGAGTATTTTTAGATACATTATCTGGAGTCCGCACTTTCTTTTGAACTGCCAATTCTAATTGCTTCTTGAGCGATAGTGTGTCAGATTCGACATTCCTGTGTGTATTCTCCTTGTCTGTAGTAAAAACAGCAACGTCGATCGTACGTTCCGTGGCCTGACGGCCTGGCCACGGGGATCGTCCGAAGGCGGCGCGAACGGCCGCGAACGCCGAACGGCGGCGCGAACGGCGACGCGACAATTCGCGCGGCGCGATTTGAGGGCCACGGGAAGTCACGTTCGCCGCCGCGACCAGATAGGCCGAGAGTGAA